ATTTTTGGTTGGATATGTTAACAAAATTACTAAGTTTCTATGATGACAGTTTTTATTTTTTTAGTTTGTTCAGTAGTTCTGTGTACTTAGTTTGCATCCTTTTTAGGAAAATTCAGGAAACTTTTTTTCCTAGAGAGTAGAAAATGGTAGGACTTAGACATGGAGAAAAACATAAACTGGTAATGAGGATAGATAATTGGTAATAGTTAAATGCATCTTAAAATGAATCTAGTTAAAATGGGGACAGAATTTGTTCTGAGAAATTGATTCGAATCCTTATATTCATATGGAATTTTAAGACATGCTGAGTAGCCAAAAATATCTTGAAAAAAGAAAATGTTGGGGGACTCACAATTCCCAATTTAAAAATTACAAAGCTGCAGTAGTAGAAACAGTGTGATAATAACATAAGGGTAGAGATATAGACCAATAGTATTGAATTGAATCCAGAAATAACCTCTTGTGTCTGTGATTATTTCATTTTTCAGAAGAATGCCAAGACCATTCAATGGGGAAAGAACATTCTCTTTAAGAAATGATACTGAAATAACTAGATATCCATATGTGAAAGAATGAAGCTAGACTCTTCCCTTCATACCATGTACAAACATTAACTGAAAATAAATAAAAGACCTAAATATGTGTTAAAGTTATGAAATTATTAGAGAAAAATAAAAGAGACCTTTTTCATGATCTTGGATTTGGCAATGGTTTCTTAAATAAGACACCAAATCACAAACTATGAAAGAAAAAATAGATATATTGAATTTGTACATTTAAAAACATTGTCTAGAGACCATAAGGATAAACCACAGGAGAGGAGAAAATATTTGTAAATATATCTAGTTCTAATATCCAGAACATATAAAGACATCTTATATCTCAACAACCTTAAACAATAACAGTGTACAAAGAACTTAAATACACATTTCTCCAAAGAAATATGCAAATATCCAACATGAAATAATGCTGAACATCATTTGTTTTAAGGGAAGTATCATCCAAACCACAATGAGATAATACTTTGTACCCCACGATTAGTACATAATTTAAAAAGACAATAATGTCTGTGATTGTGGGCGAAAGGAATCATTCTGTATTGCTGGTGGAATGTAAAATAGTGCAACTGCTTTGGAAAACAATTTTGAAAAAAATTAAACATGAAATTTCCATATAATCCCACAATTCCATTTCTAGGGATATACTGCAAAGAATTGAAAACAGGCACTCAAAGAAATATTTGTACATGCATGCTCATTTAGCATATTCACAATAACCAAAAGGTGGAAGCAGCTCATATAGCCAACAAAGGATTAATGGATAAACAAAAGTGGCACATACATGCAGTGAAGTATTAATAACTGTAAAGAGGAATGATTTTTCTCTGTACATGGATGAACCTTGAAAACATTATGCTCAGTGAAAGAATCCAGACACAAAAAGTCATGTATTTTATGTTTCCATTTGTATGAAATATCTAGGATAATTAAATCCATAGAGACCAAAAACCGGATTGGTGGTTGCCAGGGGTTGGGGGAGGGGAAGGAAGAATGGGAACTTGCTGTTTAATGTGTACCAGGTTTTCTCCTGGGATAAAGAAAATGTTTTGGAAACAGAGGTGGAGATGCACAGCATTGTAAATAAACTAAATGTCCCCGAATGGTCCACTTCCAAATTGTGTGTTACGTGACTTTCATCTAAATAACAAAAAATGTACATTAGAGATTTGTTTTAGAATGAAACCAAGAATTATGGAGTTAATTTTTCATACCAGTTATTAATTAAACTATATGATATATTTTCAAAATAAAACAAATTAAGTGCTCATATTTCTTGACATATTTTAAAATTACAACATACCTACATTTTTCCACTAAACTTTCACACTGTGGTTATAGAAAGTGACATTTTCTTGAAAGATATGTGTGTCCCCAAGACCCAACTCTTAATTTTGTGGTGTTTATTAATCATTGGAGCAAAAAGGATAATAATTCCTTTGGTTGGCATATACTGAGGCACAAAAGAACAGAAAAATGTGATGACCAAACTGGTTGATTTGCGTGTGATGTACATATGAAAGAAGTACATTCACTAGTTTCTGAAAATGTACCATGTTGTTACTTATAACTCAAAACCAAAATTTGTTGCGTTGTTGAAATATATCTTAATACATATATTAGGCGGGTAAAGGTTTGGAATATTTTGTTGAAAAAGTATTGATATTTAGATTGTTTATTCTTTTTAACTTAAAATTTGGATGTGGTATGAACTTTAGAAAGTATTTACCTCCTTTAGCAAAACTCATTTCGATAGCTGTCTTAACAAGCCTTTATAGGAGTGAAGGTTTATTCTCTTTTAATTAAGCCTTCAAAACTTTCAGGTTCTTGAAGTTTGTAACTAAGCTCTCATATTTTCCAAATTGGGCAAGAAACTTTATGAGAACAAATGTTTTGATATAATATATTATTGCTTCAAGTTTAGCTCAACTGGAAACCAACTTTTCTTATCATGTGGCAACATTTTATTTTTTTCCACTTGGCTCTAATTAGGAAATAATGTAATAATGAGTATTTGTGTTAAAATTAAGAAAAACAGAATTTGTCTCAAATCAATAGGCTGATATCAGTGTCTGTCAAATATGGAAAGAAAATTATATAGTGATCAAAATTGCTTATCTCATTGTGAAAAAAAGGTGAGGGATATCTTTTTGCATTTAATAAAAAGAATACAAACTTGATTTCAACTTCAGATCCATCCTTTAAATGCATCATTTAATGCATTTATCATTTGTACCAGAGGCAGTTCAGATTTAGAGAGCTTATAATTTTGAGCTGTAAGAAAAGGGAATATAAAATCCAAATAAAATATTAGGTAATGGATCTTTGAAAGGAGCAAGGCAAGTGTTATATTCTTCTTGCTCCTTAAGGAGATTTGAATTGGCTGAGAGACATAATGAAACTGTTAAATTAAAATAGGAAATAGTTGCTTAATATTTATGCTAACATATGTTAGCATATGTTATATATATAGCATTTAACATATATATATAGCATATAACATATGTTACCATAATATAGGAAATAATCACTTAATATTTATCCTAAAATATGAGTAGAGTTTTAGTTCATCTTTAATTTTAGAATGGATGTTTAATCAAGGTATAGACTTACATTCTAGATTTTTCCCCCAGCATTTTAACTATATTGTTCTATTGTCTTCTCTGTTCCATAGTTTATGTTTGATACTCAGCTGTAAGTTTTATTGTTTTTCCTTGGAAGGTGATGTGTCCTTGCTGTTTGTAAGATTTTGTTGTTATCTTTGATTTTCAGCAGTTTGACTGCTAAGTGTGATTTTCTTTCACATTTTCCAGTACAGACTTGGCTATAGTCCCTGGGTCATTGAGTAATGTATTATATCAGTTTTGGAATGTTCTTAACTGTTTTTTCTGAAAATATTGCATCTTCCTCATTCTCTTTTCAGCTATAGTCTCATTGGCTGTTTGATTCCAGCATGTCTCATGTTTTTTTTTTTTTTTTTTCTCTTTTTGCTTCAGTTTGGATGTTTTCTGCTGATCTCTTCAAGTTCACTAATGCTGTGTTTTGCTGTATTGAGTCAGCTATAAAATTCAGCCACAGATTTCTTAATTTCAAATAGTGTATTTCTCAGTTCTAAAATTACTGTTAGATTCTTTTGCATAGATTTTAATTCTCTGTTGAAATGTTCCTATTTTCATCTACTGTGAACGTTTTTCTATTTTTTAACTTACGGTTTTCTTTAGATTTTTCTTCAAGTCCTTGTCTTTGAATTCTTTATCATCTGTGGGTTGACATATACAGTATTTTTTCAACTGGTATTGGTCACATACTGTGCTCTTTATGGTATTTTGTGTCAAATACTGTTTATTATATGATCATAGAAATTGATGTAAATATTACTTTCTCTCAATGTTATATTAGAAAGAAATGATGAAGTGTTAACCATCTCAACTCAACCACAGGTTGAACTGGGTGGTTTGAGTGACAGGTTTAGATATATTCAGTCTGCCTCTGGTTTTACATATCTTAAGGGCCAGACCTATTGTGTTGCAGTCATTTCTTTCTGCTATGGCTTTGTGCTAATGTGCTGTGAAATTGTTAGAGATTTTACTCTACCATTTGGCTTCTTCCCCCTTTCACTCATCTTCCCTCTCAAGGTGGGATGCTTTTGATTGATAGCAAATATATTGAGGGGAGATAAATAGAAATTGTACACTGGACATGGTAGGCACAGTCTGTTACAGAGTGACTTTAACTCTTAACCCCCACAGCACTACAGAGAACATTATTTGCCCTATGTCCTGTTCTCTTCTCATTTCCCCAAATCCTCTTATGCGATCCTAGCCCTCAGCAGATCTCCCAGAAGAAAATTTTCATGTGTTTTGTGGGTCCCATGGGATTCCAATCTGTCCCTGCCAGCCCATGAGCTATCAAAAATTATACTGGTTTCTCTTTTTCTTAGTAGTGTTCCTCTGTCTAATTCTTATGTTTAAATGGCAAATCCTTTCAGAAATGAAACAGTCAGGGGGCTCAGCCTACCCAAAAACAGATGTCACTTTTCTCCTAGTTTACCTTTTTTTTTTCAAAATCCAAAGTTCTCTATTCCCTTTAAAAATATGATGTTGGGCATAGTTTATCATTTTTTTTTCTCTAGTTGTTGTGAAAGCAGTGACTTGCTACTAGACTGGTAAATTAATTTTGTAAAAGTAAGAATAAAATTTAGACCCATATGTTCACTCTTTTATATATTGTATTTATATAAAGTCTGTGTGCTTAGATTATTGTTTTTTTATTGAGTATTAATATTTGCTGCTTAATCTACCAGGCCCCCAAAATAATCATTCTTGATGTTTAGAAAAGACTTATCCCAATAGCCATTTTTAATTTCAAAATTCCTTTTGGATAGTAGTAAATTAAGTGAAATGGAAACAAAAATTAATTTTCCTTTCTCCTTTTCCTGTTTAGTGAGTGATAGTTGCTTCAGAAATCTTGCAGAAGATCGCAGTGGGATAAATCTCAAAGATCTCGTACAAGATCCTTCTTTGTGAGTATTTGGTTTTCAGTATTAAGTGTAAATTAAAACTTGGTGTGACTTTGCTCAGAAGAGTTGTAACTGAGCACTAATTTCAGGTTGAGTAATTTCTTCTTTTCTAACAATTTATGTTATATGTAATGAAGCACACAGAACAGTTTCGACAGAAGTGAAGTTATGGAACAGTTTCTGTGTAGAAATAGAAGAGATTTTAGAAGAAGAGATAATGAGATTAATGATTGACTTTCAAAGAATATCTACTAATGTGTGATGATATCTTACCAATGTGGCAGTAGATACTAGGCAGATAATTAGTAGTTTAGTTGCTTGCAGAGGCAAGATTGAATTTGTTTACATCAGTTTTAAACATTTTTTAATAACTTGCAATAATAATTTGTAAGTATAATTAAAAATGTAAAATAGTTATTTATAATAACAATATACTTGACTATATTGAATATATTTCTGATGTTTTACATTTGCAAGTTGTATGTAGCACAAGATTTTTGAGGAGTTCAGTAGTTTTCAGTTTTTAATGTTCTTGATCATAAGTCAATTCCATTCTTTATCAGAACATATTTCATTTCAGAGTATAATGTCACTTTCATGAATCAACTTTTTTGCAGTTATATATTAAACTCCAAATCATACATGCTATCTTCTGTAGGAACATATCCTTCCAGTAAGATCCTCTTTCATTAAAAAAATAATCAATACTAGTTAAGCCGTAGGCAGCAGGGAAAGAAAATCAAGTGCTGGCAGATGCTTTCCTTGGTGATATTTAATGCAGTCAGTAAAATATATTACAACAAAAAAATTGGTCTTCCACATTATGTGTAATCTATATTCATACAAGTTTTACTAGTAATTCATTTAAAATGTGAGGAATAAAACACAAGAGTGTGTTGAACCTGAAGGTTATTGATTCCTTTAATGATGGTCCAAATCATTTAAAAAATATAGTTATAAGGCAGAATGGTGAAAATGATTGAATATTGAAGTTATTATAATGAACTCATGAGTTCAGAAATGAGTTTCCAATCCCAACTTTCTAAATTTTTTTCTTTTTAAAATGTATCTCTTCATTTAAAAGAATTGTCAGTACTCTTTCTACATGGTTTTTATTGTAATGAAGATTGACAGGTTGTCCTTCCAATTCTATAAGTATTTAATGAAGAATAGAATTATTATATGTGGACATAAATATTCCTAGTGAGTGAATATTGAATAACATGTTCATGAATGTATGGAAAGAAGCTTTATAATGTCATGGAAAGATTTCATCCACTTGAATGAATAAAATAAATTATTCCATTATGGTTTATTTATAAAGTATATTATTGGTGCAATAGAATTATATATCTTCTTAACACAGTCTTTGTGGGGGAAATGTGCTTATATGGACTTCAATGATATAAAAGCTGTGGAGAATTACATTTGAATAATGGATTATAGTAATGAGTTATATAGTATTTTGAAATACTTTGGTACTTCTTCCTAGAATGTAGAATAGTATTCATTAGGTAATCTATCACTAAAATATGATTTTAATCTTAGATCACTATTACATCAAGTGGACAAAATAATTTTGAGACTCTGTTTTAAAGTAGTCAGATATCTTAGCAACATCATTCCCTTAAGTTGGCATTAGTCTCTTGGCATTAGTGTTGAATGTAAGAATTCAGTGAGCAAGAATTTGTCTTTGCCCTTAACACTTGGATTGGGAAAGAACTTTTTACTTAATAAGAATTGTCAAAATGTACTATTAATGACTGATTCATTTTTTAGAGATAGATTTCTTGGTAAAATTCTTTAGGGAAAGTAATGCCTGGTGTGGAAAAATAATTATTTTTTTGGTTGTTATAATGGGAAATATTTTATTCTGAGTTACTATTTTGTAGCAATATTTTATATCTCTTGGGTAAGGATTTTTTTTAAGCCAGCTACCTCTTTTTCTGGCCTAGACTCCCAAACTCTTGACATCATTCGTTACTTTGTTCATTAATTACTTTTTTCATTAATTCATGTGCACTACTATATGGTTCTATGTGAATTGTTTTGGTTGTAACATTAAGTAGGAAATATGTGAAAAATAACTTTTCTGAAAGGGCTTTCTCAAAAAATCACTGGCATTTGATGAGTACTCTAGTAGGCTTCAATCCATGGGTCACAAAGAGTCAGACATGACTGAGAGACTTCACTTTCTTTCCTGACAAATGTAAGGGCTGCTAAAATTATATGTTATTTCAATAAATGTCCCAAATAAAAAATATTAATAGAATAAGATATGTATATTAAATGAATGCTCCATATGTAAATATGCCTGTCAGATTTGTATTATGCTTCACCTACTTGAGCTCCTGATGATGAAAGGAGTTGATGTGTGAAGAAAACTGTACTTTAGTCACTAATGCTGTTAGAAAGAGAGAAGGAAAAAGTAGATCGAGGAGATCCCAGGCTAATTTGGTCAGTGTGACACTCGGAGTGATATTGTAGTGTCTTAATCAGATGAGGGAGCAGGTATAAAATATCTGTAAAATCATTGTAGTAAAAGTAATTATTGGGCTTGAGTGAACTGAGTGAGCTATATTGTGTGAACATGATGAAGGACGGATGGAATGGGAGAAGGAAAAAAAATGAGAAAGTTGTGAATCCTTAAGCAAGACTTTCTGGTCTTGCTGCTGACTTTTTATCTGTTGTAATAATGAGAGTGGAATCTGACTTGTAGCAAGATTGTGATGAGGGGAATACCTGAGAAGCTCTCTTCTTTGGGTAGTTGCTCTAAGAATATTTGTTTCTAGTGCAGTCCTATAGGTGTTACATATAACACCAAGTAGAAGAGCCTTTCATTTTTTTGCTAATAATGTGCAAAAATGTTTATTTGAATTGGTAATTTATATGCATATTAAATTTCAAAATAAACAATTAACTGTTTTAATAATATATCTTCTATTTATGATTATAAATATTTTAAGAATGATTTCTTCTGTTGTATGCATAATTTGTCAGTTAGAATTGTTTTATAAGACTTCATGTTTTAGTTGTGGTCTTCAATGGCACATTGAAAAGTGTTGTGAAATTACCTGATGTCATCACCCTATTAGAAACATATCTGGGCTACGGCCCATAGGAGCACAAAGAGTTGGACACGACTGAAGCAACTTAGCATACCCACACATATCACCACATTAGAAATATATCTAATGTTATACATAATTTTCATACATAAAAGGAATTATTCTTAGCATGATACAATTACTTTTTGTTCTCTTTAAGTGGAGTGTTATATGCTATTTAAATCATACAAATCCATTTATACTTCTTGTTATCTATGCAGGAGAGCTGACTACTATATGAAAAAGAGATACTGTATATAACACACTTTTAAGTTATATCAGTTGTGTTCTCTATAGTTATATTTCTCAAAAATGCTTTCAAGTTTCCATAGTTTGGTGAAGATGAAAGATAAAACATACTACCATATTTATGTTTTAAGGTTTTTTTTTGCTTACTTATAAACCATTTAGCAGAGATAATTATTTGAACTCAGATTCATTTATGGAAATTATTAAAAGCTGTTTAATAATCAAGAGAGGAAATATAAGAATGAGAAGGACTAATAGAAATTGAACACTTAATTTTACTATTCATTGTGTTGATTCTAATTGTGTGTGTGTGTGTTTGGTTGTAGATGGATATATCTTGTTTAATTTGCAAAAACTCTTAAAAATTTATGTCTGTTGTATATATGTGATGTGTAAATCAGTTGGAGGAAGAACTGTTTAATTCATAGACGAATTGGCCATCTCTGAATATTAGAAATATAATTCATAATTTAGGATATTAGTAATTTTTTTCATAGAGCAGATAGGGAAAGAATTTTGTAAAACATGGCAATTATGCCAGTCTTTGTTATTTTTCTTTCTGTTGCTCAGAGTATATTTTCAATTGTTCCAGTGATGTCAAGATTTTGAAAAGATTTTCCTGAGTTACCTCTTGTGATTTTTAAGAAAGGATGATTCAGTGAAATAGGAGAGATCTTAATTATAAATTCTGGATAAATTGTATTGTGAATGAGGAATGCTTCTTGTCAGTATTCTTGGTATTTTTTTAAACTGTGGTAAAATAAACATCACATGAAATTTACTGTCTTAGCCAATTTTGAGTGTGTAGTTCAGTCATGTTAAGGATATACACACCATTGCAAGCTCTCCTAGAGTTTTTCATCTTGGAGAACTGTAACAAAAACTCATTAAACATTAACTCCCTATTTTCCTCTCTCCCCAGCCTCTGGCAACCACAGTTCTTTTTGTTTCAATAATTTTGGGATACTGTAGGACTCTTATAAGTGGCATCATACAATATTTGTCTTTCTGTGACTTTTTGTCTTTTAGTTAACACAGTTGTCTCAAGTGAGTTCTATCATGTGTCAGAATTTCTTTCCTTTTTAAGGCTGATTAATATACCATTATGTATATATATATCACAGTTTGTTTACTTATTCATACATTGATGGGCACTGAGTTGCTTCTACCTCTTAGCTGTTGTGAATAATGCTGCTCTGAAAATGAGTATGCAAATATCTCATTGAGCCACTGATTTCAGTTCTTTTGGATATATACCCAGAAGTGGAATTGCTATATCATATGGTAATTCTGTTTTTAAGGTTTTGAAGAACTGCTATAGTGTTTTCTGTAGTGACTGCAACAACTTATATTCCCTCCAGCAGTGCATATATATTCCAATTTCTCCAATTCCTCATCAATACACACTTTTCTGTTGGTTTTTATTTTCATTTTTAAAATAATAGCTGTCTTAATGGATGTGAGAAATATGTTCTTAGTATTTCTAATTGAACTTCACTTCTTTTGTCTTTAATAATTTTGATGCAGCTAATCTAGAGAGTAAAGAAAAATAAAAGGTGCTCTCTGTGATTATTACTATGATTATCATGATACTTGATACCTGGTGAAGTAAACTGTGTTGCTTATTAGTGAAATAGAAATTCTTTT